TGCAGAGCAGAGGAATAACTTTCTAACTCAAACCAGACTCAGCCTTCAGGCTGTTTGCAGATCTTCTCTCGCTTGCAAACTGCACCTTTGCCTCACTCAGCCTCAGTCTGTATTTCCTTTTACTGAAAAGCTCAGATCAGTCATACATTAACACAAATTTCAACTTACTTATGCAAATTTAATAAGAAAGCCCTCTCAAACTTTTCAGGTCAGGAAAAACTTGGATTTTTGCTTATTGATTTTCTTCATCAACGCAGTGGCTCCTGTTTCCTCTGAGCCATCACCTGTTTCAGCTTCCTCTTTTTAACTATAACATTTGAGAATCATAAAGATTCTGTAAAATCTGCCATGTTCTGGTAACCTTCGCTGTGCAAAACAGGACAATCTCAGCCCAATCATCAATCTAACAACATCCTGTACTTTTAAATTGAAGTGGCTCTTCACAAAGTTCCATTTAGCTGCTAAAATATAGGATACTCACATTAAAAAGGTGCTTAAAGGCTGCGTCTCCTGAGCTGTGTATCCTTGGCGTGCTGCTTTTGGCTGAGTGCGCACCTCAGAACTTTGGGTTGGTAAAGAATATTGAGGAGTGTGCTATTCTGACAAGCTGCAGCCTGCAAGCTTTACCCTGAGGGCTCAGATACTATCTGTGTGCATATATATATAGATATATATATATCTATATATATATATATATATTTATATATATATATATATATATATATATATTTATATCTATATATAGATAGATATATATAGATATTGTATAGGATACAAATGATACCCATCACTATAAGCTGTCTTTTTGGCTTAAATTTTCCAAAAACCTATAAAATGTATTAATTACCTATTATGTAATTAATTAATAAAAAATTTGAATTATTCTCACATTTTCAGTAAATCAGTAAAGGTTTGTATAACATGGAGTTTGCAGAATTTGAATAAAATGGTTTATATGTCATTGAAAAGAGGAGAAGTAATCATTTATAGACAGAAAAGTAAATTTTTTAGATGATCCAGGATGAAGTTGTGTTTAACTCATCTTAGCAGAAAAGGTAAGGGAAAGGGTTATGGTCTGGATATAACAAGACTTGTGAGAATGATTTTTACACAACATAAAACTGTTCATTTCCTTTTATAGCATGGCAGAGTTGTAGGGAAAATGCATTGGCTGAGCAGCAGAGTTAGGTATGTGGGTTGTGGTCAACAAATGCTTATAAATCCCTTCTGCTCATAGCTAATTCTGTCACAGACTTTGGTTTGGTGTTCTTTATTGGAATAACTGATTTAACACATTAGAGAAGCGCACAAAACCACAAAAACCAACAAGTTATCTTATTAGTCGCCTATTTGGTCACACACTACGCATAGGGAAGGCATCAAAATTCTCCACCGGTGTTGTAGATGTGTTGGTAACCATGACAACCTGTTCATCCAGAAGCATTTGATGGAGGTCAGGCTAGGACTACAGGCAGGTCCGTCCAGACTGTTCATTATGTTATTTTGGAGGTTCAGATTAACCCTGTTTATTTACGTAATGCATTAACATCTTGGGGGATGCAGATATTTATCTGCATAAAGGTTATCTCCAATGATGAGAGAATTATTTTTAAGTATCTGGTGGTGGAATCACACATCATTACCCTACCATCACCAAAAACTGATTCACACTGGCAGGGAAAAAATGGCAGGTTATCCATGGGCCCAACCGCCAGCCTCATTGAATACATCCTACAAATATGGCCCTTTCTATAAGGGCTTATAAACAGGCAACACTAAAGGTTAAAGGCCTCAAAGCAATTTCACAACAAAGATGAAATCAACTAGACCTAGATTAATTTACTTTCAATGCTATTATCATCATTATTGCAGATTTGTTGCTAAGGTAGACATGGAGAAAGAAAAAAAGGCAACATAGCCCAGACGTTTAATTACCGATGGGTTTTGTGTATTCATCCACCAGGTGCTCCGTTTATTCCAAAAATAATTGGTCTGCCCTTGACGTGGTCAGAGATGTGAGAATATCTCTGTTTAACTCTCTAGATTAACTGGGAAACAATCAAGCTTTTAAACTGAAGAAGCCATCAGCTTTAAAGAATCTATTTTCTTACCTTAAATCAGCCGAAAGAAAACAAACAGTTTATCATAATCCTCTCAGTATCTTCGTGGAATACAATGTCACCAAGAAATGAATGTCACCCATTTTCTTCCCTTCCTTAAGGACTAACGGTAAATGTGTTCGGCTCCAATGAACAGCCCAGTATGTATGCCTGTGAGGTGAGATATTGAAAAAGAGAGGTGAGAAAAGGCGCTTAATGTCTTACCTGGTCCAGAAACTCTGTGTATTAATCATTAGCATTCCCATAACCTAACATGTACGTCACTGTAGAGGGCAAGAAATGAAATGACTGCCCTTTCTTACAGCTTACCCGTTTTTCCTCCGATACACTATATTACTATACCAGTGGAGTCATATCAACTTCTCTGATCATTTTATATCTACTCTTCAACCTCTGAAATATAAAAAAAAATAAACTGGTTTCGCGAGCAGAATTATAAAGTGTAATTTCTACCATTATTTACAAGATTGGTTAACCTCTAACTGTTTGGGTTACTTTCTTTGCCAAACTAACAAAGGTCACTTTTTTTAGATGAGCGGCTCAGACTGTACAGAATAAGTAAATCCAACTTAATGGATTATATATTAGGGAAAATTCAAAACTATAAACCTATAAGTAATTTATGTCTTTAGATGTACAGATTATTGCCTTTTAATTATCTTAGAGATAGCTATGTATGTTTGTATGTATATATGTATGTATGTATGTATGTATGTATGTATGTATGTATGTATGTATGTATGTATGTATGTATGTATGTATGTATGTATGTATGTATGTATGTATGTATGTATGTATGTATGTATGTATGTATGTATGTATGTATGTATGTATGTATGTATGTATGTATGTATGTATGTATGTATGTATGTATGTATGTATGTATGTATGTATGTATGTATGTATGTATGTATGTATGTACGTATATATATATATATATATATAGCTGGAGATAGGCACCAGCACCCCTCGTGACCCCACTTGGGATTAAGCATGTCAGAAAATGGATGGATGGATGGATGGATGGATGGATGGATGGATGGATATATAGGCCCAGAGGAACATCTGTGCAGAGTGATAGACAATGATCAAGCCAAGATCCTGTGAGACTTCCAGATACAGACCGACCGAATGGTAATGGCAAACCAACCGGACATAGTGGTGGTGGACAAAAGGCAAAGGAAAGCTGTTGTGGTTGACATAGCAATACCAAGTAACTGTGACATCTAGAAAAAAGAACATGAAAAACTAGAGAAATTCCAGGGGCTCAGAGAAGAGCTGGAGAAAACCTGGAAGGTCAAGGCATCAGTGGTACCCCTGGTCGTTGGGGCACCCGGGGCAGTGACCCCCAAGCTGGAGGAGTGGTTACAGCAAATCCCTGGAAATACATCAAACATCTCAGCCCAGAAGAGTGCAGTTCTAGGAACAGCTAAGATACTGCACAGAACCCTCAAGCTCCCAGGCCTCTGGTAGAGGACCCCAGCTTGGAGGAAAAAAAGGGGCGGGCAAGACCTGATGCCTCTTGGTTGATACCCAAAGTATCAGCCAGAACGCATAGGTACTGAGAAGTGGTCTGTGGTCCTCACCTGTAGAGCCAATCCTTTATTGAGTGTGTCTTGCTAATTGGCAATAATTTCCAACTCTTTTCTATTGCATTTGCACGAAAGCATGTTAAATAGATTTTCAACCAGTGTTGCTTCCTAAGTGGACAGTTTGATTTCACAGAAGTTTTATTGTGTTGTTTATGTGCTCCCTTTATTTTCTTTAAATCTGTATAGATAGATAGATATCTCATCCACATTAGGTATTTGCCTCTTGTTTAGGGGTTGTAGGAAGGGCCCCAGCAGTCAATGCGTGTAAGACATGGTTTACCCTGGAGGCCATCAGTCCATCACGGGGCAACACAGAGACAAACAGGACCACCACACACGACAACCACACTGGCAATCAAGCCTAAAGCAAACTAATAGTCAGTTTTTTTGGCAGAAGGGAGATAGTCGTTGACTTGTCTATAAATTTTTTCAAGAGCCCCAGCCAGAGTCCCAATATGAATTTGATGGAGATTCTTAATGGGAAGCTGTGGGTTATGGCGATCGCATAAAGGTCTTCCAACTTAAAAGATTTGGAGTTAAATACACACAAGAAATGATAAGATAGAAGAGTTTTAATTAATACAAGTCCTGAGATTTAAAAACGCTGTTTCTTTAAGTTGTTTATTGTACTGCTGTTTAAAAAGACAGGCTTTATTTAAAAAAAAGTTCATGTAGGAAAATGCTTAAAATTATTAATGCTTAAATTAATATAATATAATGTAATATAATCTGATATAATATGATATAATATAATATAATATAATATAATATAATATAATATAATATAATATAATATAATATAATATAATATAATATAATATAATATAATATAATATAATATAATATAATATAATATAATATAATATAATATAATATAATATAATATAATATAATATAATATAATATAATATGAGCACCTAAGAGAACTTTTCATTGTGCTTCACGGCAATCGATTTTTCTTTGATCGACTGCGGTTTCTTGTTGCTATGCAGCTTCTTTCTAATCATGCTGGTTGCCGTTTGTCCTAAAAAAACGCAAGTATAATTTCGTTGGAAGAGCCAAAAATCAGTCACCTTATCTTCATATTTGCTTTCAAAGACCTTTGCCGTCGTGTTAATTGTAGCCATGTTGGCACCAGTGGAGAAACAAATAACAGACGCTGTGCAGCATTTGGTGAATTTTTCCTCCTAATCATAAGAACCCATCCTGTCCGCACGGTGGCGCCATTGAGCTTCAGTTCACTGAACGGGGTTCCCTTTAACACTCCCCCTTCTCCCCTTCCCTCTGCTCTTTCTTTCTCTGCTGCCCACAACAGTACAGTACATGCTCTCGTAGTGGCAGCAACCAGCACAAACCTCCCTGTAGCTCATTAAAACTGGCCATTTATCATCAATCATGGCCGCCGGAGTACAGGTTTAACTCTCCGTCTTCTCCTCCCTGTCGACTTTTTACAAGGAGAAGGGAGGAGGGAAGGAGGGGGGATTTCTGTTTGCAGAGATATCGAAATATTATTATATTATTTGGATTTCCTCCTGGAATTACAAGAACATCTCAGAAGGGAGACACCATTCATGTCAAATCTCCAAAATGCAGCCGCCGCCGAGGAAGGTGAGTGATTTCCAGGAACCGTTATGTTTGGGAGCTGCGCGCACACTGACAGACATAACGGTGTTGTTACCTTCCGATGGAGGTCATTTATTGACCACACCGCGGAAGGCGTTTGTCAAACACAAGGTTAAAGACCTGAGACTGGCTAACATGGCGACTTCTGAACCGACTTTAACGTTCATCTGTCCGGCCATCAGAACGTCAAGCAGCGCTAGCTTAGAAGGCGCTAAGGTGGGCTGCTGGAAGACGTTTGAAACAAAGCAGCACTGTTTTATTTATTTATTTATTTATTTTTTTTTTACTGTAAAACCAAGCCGCCTATTGTTGTAGAAATAACTTTAAATTAACCGTTTGTTTGGCGGTTAAGCTAAACCCGTTGTTGTTTTGCTAACGTTTCCCTGCTGTCAGATTTGTGACAGCTTTTGTTTCAGGACATCACACCATCAACAACAAAAACAAAGCTTTTGTTTAATGGGAGCCATCGTCTTTTTTACTGGAATAGTAGAGCTTAGAAGAAACAAGGGGTATCTTTGTTTGATCTGTGCAGACAGGAGCTCAGATGCCCCTCCAGAAGCAGGTCTGATGCTGGCTTATCGATCCGCTCTACAGTGGAGCTCAGCACAGCAGTCTGGGAGCATCAGGTTTAAAAAGTAAAGGGAGGCTGCAGTTGGAGGACTAATTAAGAGCTTCAGGACTTTTTTTTTTTTTTTTTTTTTTTTTACAACCTATAAGGTCCTTCCAGAGGTGTAGCCAGAATATATTTTATAAGGGTACTCTGGCAATACCCAATGTACACTGAGGGGTGGCCCAAAGTGGATATGCATCAGAACCTCAGGGTCAATCTACTCTGTTCTAACAGGAAAATGAACAAGCAAAACATCCATATTTTCCAAATAAAGACTAACTATACTTTCCTACATTCTTTGCTAACAAATAGACGCATATATTCAAACATCCGTCATTTCGAAATAAAATGTATCGTGATTTCACTGAAGACTCCTAGGTGACTTGCAGAGACACATGATTTTCTCTCTACCCCATATAATGCAAAATCTAGTTTTGAAAAGAGCATGAATTCTGTACTTATCATCTCTGATGTTCCTATATTGATGTGTATAATTAACCACAAAAAAATGTTTTGAATATTACACTTGAAAGTATTACTGGTGCCACCATCTGTATTAGAGGAAAAAAAAATGGTAAGGGTGGCCCTGGCCGCCCCAGGCCCCCCATTTAGCTCCGCCACTGGCTCCTCCGTATTCAGTTCAGCTCACTTCAGTGTAACTATAGAGGTCCAATTCATAACAAAATATAAAGGAAGGGTTTTTAAAATACAACATATCTGATGAAGTTCATTTAAATAAGGTTAGAGTAAAATTAGGATTTTATCATAGGTCATTTCTATCTAACATTTTGAATAAAACAAAGAAAAACTGGTCAATGGGGACTTTCTATGGGGAAGAAAATGAGAGTCCATGATCGATGTTAAAGACATTAATAGCTCCATCCACCGCTTCGTAAAAGAAAGAGACTCTGCTTAAGCTTTGGGAAATTAGTGTAAAAACCAACAAAACAAGTTAAATAAAGAATAAGGCAGGCAGGTAGAGGGCTGAAATGATGTCAGTACATCCTGGAGTAGTCAAGGGATATAGGCTTAAGTTGAACCAAAAATGAGAATTTTAGGCCCAGCCTTATTAGTATAATCACAGTTTTCACAATTTTCAATCCAAGAGGCAATCCATTTTGTTCACATTGCAATTACTGGGAGTAATGCTACGCTAGGACCACACGCTGCAGAGGTAGCAGAGGCAGCATCAAGGCACAGCAAAAGGTCCTGCAGCACGTTTTGAGCAGCAGGAGCAGCGCCTTACAAGCTTCTGAGCATCTAAAGTGCTTCACATGCAGCAGCTGCTGGAGTGGGAAAAATAGAACTTTTGCTGCTCGACGCGGCGCATCTACCAAACAGAGAACCTGATCTGGGGGCTGAATGGGAGACAGACACAGCGCTCCTGATGCAGAACGCTATGATCACTCCCCTGAAACTATTTATTGATGCCAAAATTAACCTAAAATGTCAAAATCTGCTGGCAAAATATGTCTGCTGTTATTATTCTGGTGCCTGCACTTTGGATTAGGTACATGCGAACCACTAAGATCTCCTTCCAGCTGCCATGAACAGTAGCGGAAAAGCAATCAAGCCTGATGCAGCTGCTGAAGGGGATTTCCATTGATAGTGCACCACCAATGTACGCTGGTTTCGTGCTGGTCGGTCAGCAAAATAATATTTGAAGGCAGGATCGTAATCTTGAGGAACTGACTGCACAGATGGTGTTTTGAGAGTGACCTTCTCACTTAAAAACATATTAAAACTACTTTTTAAGTGTGTACAAATCAGACCGATCTGTACACACTTAACTGGACAGGCGTTGGACCTTAATGTGTACAAGCATCAAAAATGAAGTAGCAGATGCTTTTTTGCTGCTTCTATCGCATGCGGTCTCAGTGTGGCATCAGAACCTTCCTTTCTCACTCCAGCCCTTTTGGTGGCGCTATGACTGTACGCTTTAAATGGATCTGTAGCCACACAGAGGTGAAAAGAGCTGCAGGTACTGAGCAGATCCACGCGTGCGGTAGAAGTGATTGTCTTCCAAAAATCTAAATTGTGATTATTTTCAAACAGTGATTGCAATTATATTTTGATATTCCCCCACGCTAACTGAAAGCCTGTGGATGTTTCCCTCTTTGGTTTTCTTTTTTTCATCACCTTGAAAAGGTGCTTGTCCACAGTCCATCGTTTGCAGGACTTTACTGTAACATTTATGCTAAATAGAGCTTATTTCTACTCACATGTATGAATCTGTTTGCTAGCTGTTACTCTCTCTTCTCTCCTATGCAGCGGTAAACCCACTTTAAGGGTTCTACTGCCACCTAAAGGGCCGGAATGAGAAATGTAGGATCTTACTCTTGTTTAATGTAATGTGAAAATTAGAATGAGAGCGTCTGCAGTTTGATTAAATTGAGATTATATTCCAGATGCATTTAATTGTTGAGCCCAATTTCCCACATACCTGTAACAGTAAAGCCATCCACCATGGACTCTGGACGAGCACGCTTTCAAGGTCATGAAAACAATTAAACCCTGGAGTTAAACATCTACAGGCTTGTAGTCAGGGCAAAGATAAACCCAAATAAAATCATAGTTAATATTTTGGTTGAAAAAAAATCAAAAGTTTTAGATTATGGCTAAATGGTTCAGCCCTAACCCAGACAGAGACTAAGAGCTGGTTTTACTAGAAAACATCTAGTAAAACACAAAAATTCTAGTAGTTTAGGTTTGAAAAGTCTGTTATTACAGCCTTCTCACTTTGCACAATTTGCAAAGCCTACTCTAGAGCAGAAGTAGACTTTAAATGTTATGCTGAAAAAAATCCCTAACTCTTATCTTCTAGGATTAAAAAAAAAAGAAATGAGGAAAGTAATTATAGTCTGGTTCTTTAGATGGAAGCTAATGTGTGAGATTGAATTGAATGATGTTTAACCATAGGAGATGTGATCCCACTTTTGAACAATCATTTAATAATGCATCCCATTTGACAGTTTATTATTTTCATTTCCAAAACAGGACTAGTTTAAACACCTGATAAGATCCAACGTTGCCTTTTTATTAGAATCTAAGGTATGTTTATACAGGAGATGATGACTGGAGCTGTTTTTTGATCTGTGCGGTTTAAAGACAGATGCATGGGAAGCAGAGCTCCCCTGTGAGCCTCTGTGCACTTGTCTTTTAATTATCACATCTCTATCCCCCCTGTGCTTTTGATGTGCTGCTTTTTCCACGTGTCACTTCATGTCCTTTAAATCTCGCCCACTTTGCGAACCTCTTTCACGAAGCTGTTCTTCACTATCTTTTTGGATCGGTTTTATGTTAAAGCACTTGGGAGTATCAGCAAAACAAATACTGTTTTTTTTTTGTTTTTTTTTATACGGTCTGCGAAGGTGGCTGACACACTGGACGCACTCAGCCTGCAGTGCCACAGCCAGAGTGTATCAGTGTTCACCTGTGAGATACAAGTGTTTTCTCCCTCCCTGAGCGACACATCCAGCCCCTTAAGTGTTTTGTCTGTGTCTCAGCCCATCTGCTAACAAACTGCCCTCGTTTGAGGCTCATATATTAGTTTGATGGGGCTTAAATTATAGATGCCTGCTTCTGGGTTAACACAGACTAATAGATTAGGGCTGTCTAGATGAATTTTGAGCTGGCCTAAATGTGACAGACTTTATTCTCATGGTTGAAATTTCTCTTTTAAAAAAGAAAAGAAAAGGAAGCTTTTACCTGAGAGGGGACCCAGTGGGAGGAAATCCCTTTTAATCTGCGTTATTTTATCGCTCTTGTTCCCTGCAACAGTAGTTATAGTGGGTTTTCCATGTAAATGTACAATTACAGTCACAACCTTTGGTGGATTTCACTGTGATACACCAACGCCTTAGTGCTTAATGGAGAAACAGACAGGCAATATTTCGAAGTTTTCTAATATGGAAGTGAAAACCTGAAGAGTTGGCCGCGCATCAAATATTCAGAAAACAAAGGTTCAAGTTTCAGCTAAGAAAAAACGATTGAAAAAAACGGCATCTTGAGTGTGAGGATCGAGTCTGATTGATCCACTTAATGAAGGAGCTTTTTATGTTTGAATTATTCATAATGCTGATTTTAGTAGCCCACCTTAACAAACCAAGAAAATGATTTCTGGAGAATAGTCAGGCACTGGAAAGGAAATTGGTAAGAAAGCTGTTGTAATTCTTAAGAAAATTAGTAAGCCGGGGGGAAACTTTGACTTACGACAGCTGCGTGACGTACATCTGTTTGCTCCAACGCTCCAAAGCCACAGCACTGTTGTCCTTTAGACATTTACTTCATTTTATTTTTAGATCTTTGTCCACCAAAAATTTTAGGTTGTTTTTCGTTTTTCTGTGAAACTTTATGATTTCCTCTCAGTTGTCAT